TGACTGCTGCTTCCATGAGTGTTGATAGTTGATCCAAGAAGAATGAAGTCCTTGACAACTTCAATCTTTTCTCCATTGATAAGAATGTTGTTTACTGCATGTGTATGCACTCTTTATACATACATTGGTGGTACAGGGATTAACGTGTTTAGCTGCATATCAAAAAGCCAGTAGTTTGAACCTGCCAGTCACTTCACAAGAGAAAGACATGGCGGTCTGCTTCATAAAGACATACGTCTCAGGAACTCTATGGAGCAGTTCTCCATTGTCCTGTAGGGTCACCAATGAGTCGGAACTGACTCCATAGCAATGGATTTGATTATGTTCTCAATATGCGTATGAGGACACTCTTACATTCGTGATGTCAATCAAATAGCTCAGATAGCTATAAACCACTACACACCCCTTAGGTTGTTAGTATAAGCAAATGACTAAGCTATTTAAATAAGATACCTCCTATGTAAAATAGGACTGCAACTAATTGTATTTACCTCATACACTTATTGTAGAGAATAAATACAAAAATGCATTTGAAATGCTTAATTTAATGCCACGCCTAATAAATGTAGTTGTTGTTAAGGTGTAGCACTGTGGGTGAATGCACTGGACTGTAAAGTCAGTTTGAACTGCAAGGTTGGCCATTCCAATTCTCCTCGGAAGCCCTATACAGAGTCACTATGAGTTGGAATTGACTTGATGGCATTTAACAACACTGTTGTTAATATTGTTACTTATTAAGTGCCATTGAGTCGGTTCTGACCCATAGCGACCCAGTATAGGGTTTCCAAGGAGTGGCTGGTGAGCTTGAATCGCTGTTCTTGTGGTTCAAACAGACTTTGCTGTCTAGCGCATTAACCCACAGCTCCACACGGGCTGTTTTGGGTATCCAGTGCTGCTATGGATGACAAATACCACAAGTTGAACAGTTTTTTTCGCACAGTTTAGTAGACTAGAAGTTCAAATTCCGAATGCTAACTCCAGGGCAAGGCTGTCTCCGTCAGCTCTGGGGAAAGGTCCTTGTCTCCTTTCAGCATCTGTGGAGCTAGTAGTTCTTGGAGATCTCTGTGCATCCTGCCATCAGTCTTCCCTTGGCTCTCAGAGCTTCACAGTACAAGGAGCTCAGGCCAAAGGCTGCACTCCACTTCTGCCTCTTCTATCTGGGGAGGAATAGATCCCTCTGTCTGCTCACATTTCTCTCCTTTTATCCCTTGTAAACCCTTGGGAATCTCTCGTACATCAGATCAGAGTTCTGGTGGGATTAAGGGTAATGTATTCCACCCTGATTCCTTTTATTGGGTTTTCACATCAGATCATATCACAGGGAACCATCATAGAACTGCCAAGTCTTGGAGAATCATGGTCCAGCCCAACTGACACATCATTTGTTGTTGTTGGTAAGTGCCGTTGAGTCGATTCCGACCCATAGCGACCCTGTATAGCATTTCCGAGAAGTAGCTGATGAGTTTGAACCGCTGACCTTGCAGTTCAAACAGCTTTGCAGTCTGGAGCATTAACGCACAGCACCATACTAGGACACATCATTTGGGGGGACACAATTCAATCCATGACATGTGCTAATCATAAAAGGAAACATTGTCTTACTTAATCTAATCCTCATCACCTAATTACTGTGGGAATATGTGCATTTTTAGCCCAGCAATTTTAGGACTCTTGTTTTGGTTTTAGGAATAAACACTTATCTCTGATTTACTTGGTTGTGGGTATTTGTTCAAAGAGATTAGGAAAAAATAATGTGGCTTTAGTCTTCCAAATCAGAATAATATTGTCCCTTGTAGAGACTGTGTCTGAGGGATGCCTTATTAAGAACTCTTTGTTTCATAAGGTTGGACTAATTTTCAACTGTGCACATTCTGTTCCCTCAAAATGCTTTCCTTTCTTTCTACGTGGCACCAACACAGAGCAGAATGTTCGGATTACTACAATGCCACCCCGATTCATGAGGCTCAGGAGAACCAGCCTCACCCGCAAGGTGTGACTGGGCTTCGGAACTTGGGTAACTCATGCTACATGAATGCCATCTTACAGTGTCTCTGCAGTGTCTCGCCGCTGGTGGAATACTTTCTCTCCGGAAAGTATATTACTGCTCTTCAAAAGTAAGTCCACTTGTGTTCTCTACAGTCCAGTCTGCTTCTTCAGGTCAAGTTAGGGAAGGGACCATCTGATGTCCCTCTTAAGGGCCAAACAACTCAGTCAAAGCTACAGCTACCCAATCAGTGTCAGATGACCCAATAAGCAATGTAAGCATGGGTTTACATGAGCTTACTTACTAATCTTCAATGAACCATTTCACATTTTGCATTACATCCAAGATTTTGTTTCCAGGTATAGCTGCCGTCTCTCTCTCTCCCAAGCCCAATGCACCTTCCTATAGAATCTAAGTTTCATTTCAAATCCCTTATAGCGGTGGGGGATCCAGTAAGCAAGGAAACATGGGCTTATTTGTTCAACAGTTTCACTGCAGATTGGTGAGTCAGTGCTTAGGGTGAGGAAAGCGGAAAGGTCAACTGAGGAATGAATGAAGGTCCGCTTTTGATTTGATGCCCCAGCTCCCATTTTTAGGTGCTTTCTTTTCATCAATTCAGCCAGAAACAGGTCCTTTCCTTCTTCCAAGGAGCTGCGGTGAGGTTGCCACTGCTTTTGCCTACCTGATGACAGACATGTGGCTTGGGGACTCAGACTGTGTCTCACCAGAAATATTTCAGTCCGCTCTTGGAAACCTCTACCCGGCATTTATGAAAAAAACACAGCAGGATGCCCAAGAGTTCTTGATTTATGTCCTGAACGAACTTCATGAAGCTCTGAAGAAGGTAAGTGGAATACTAGGCCCGGAGCTAGGATTGTCCTTGCGCTTCATCAGCTACTTTTATTTTCCATCGTTTTCATTCAGTAACAAAAACAATTACTACTCTGTGTCAAATTCCTCGCTAGGTGCTGGGGTGTGGAACATTCAAGTAAGTGTGAAATAGGTTTGATTGACCAAACTTAGCCAATCATCAGAATCACCTGGGAAGATTTTAAAACACAGATTCTGAGACCCCTACAGTCTTCTGTCTTTTGAAAAAAGCCCACTTGCCACTAATCGTCCAAGATGTAGGAATCTTTCATGGATTCTCACTCTTGGCCCTGTGTGTGTCAGAGAAGAGCTGCGCTCCAGAGCCTTCTAAATGGCTACTCTTTAGGAAATGAATCGCCAGCCCTTAGACACCTTTGGTGGACTCCAACATCTAACTTTCTAGTTAGCAGCTAAATATAACAACTGTTTGCAGCACCTAGGGGCTCTACTACTAATCTAGGACTTTGCAAATAAAAACTGCCTGGCCTAATTTTTTTTTTTTTAATAAATGTTTTATTGTGAATTGTGTGATAGTCTACATGGGAGAACATTAGCTTTACATTCATTCTATCATACATCATTTCATTGGCATAGTTACCATCCCGTCCATGCATCCTCACCCAACCAAAGGGTGTACCCTGTAAGCCTGCACCCCGCACCCTCACCACAGTCCTCAGCCCCTTTCCATCTCCTGATCCCGAGTCCCCAGCCACACCATCTCTTGACATTGTCTTCTCTGCCTCCATCTCAGGCCTCACTGCTTCTCTGGGTAGGATCCCGCTCTCTGCTTTTCTCCATTGATGGTCCTAGGGTCCTCCGCTCCTAGACTGAAAAGTTAATCACTCTCCTCCTTGCTACAAAATGTCCACCTTTAGATTTCCAACCCTCACAATCAGTCCTGATAACAATTATTCACTATTGCATCACAAGAGACCCATCTGTATTTTGTTTCATCAGCCCTTCCTGGACAGGCTGGATACTATTCACTGGAGACTCTACCTCCCTCCACGCCCTCTGGATCTAGGGTCCCTCTTGAAAGCTTATAAGCCAGTCACTTCTTACCTTTGTACCCCTCCTCCCATTTTGGGTAGCCAATGTCCAAGTTGCCCATCCCTGTCTACCCTTTGTGTGGAGGAGGTGGGAATAGTTCTTGCAGCAGGGATTTGTTTCCTCTTTTGAGCTACTGCATTTATAGGTGTAGGCTGGCCTAATTTTTTTTATAGTGGAAATTACTTTTTTGAAATATATTCCTCATGAGGACTTAACAACTTAAAATAGATTCTCTGGGTACCTGTAAACTCGTGAAAATCTGAAAACTTGGTATTAGATTAAGGGGTAAACCTGCAGACTTGGAAGTTTCTTCATACCGAACATCCTCACCTGAGCTCTTTGTTATGTTGGGACACACATTTGATAGAGTTTCTAGGGGTTTGTCTTTACTTACGGAACTCACTGCCTTCAATGCTAGCCTACGATGCACATGCCATAAAGTTATGTCCTTGTGCTGATGGTAGCTCATCTCATAGCTAATATTCAGGAAATACTTAGCATCAACATCACCAACTAGGCATTGTTAAGTGCCGTTGAGTCAGTTCCGACTCACAGCGACCCTGTATAGGATTTCTGAGGAGTGGCTGTTGGATTTAACCTGCTGACCTGATGGGTAACTGTCTGGTGCTTACCCTACAGCACCACACTTGTTGTTGTTACAATGTTGGTACTTACATTGAGTGGATTCCAACTCATTGCAACCCCGTATAGGGTTTCCAAGGAGCAGCTGGTGGGTTTCAATTGCTGACCTTTTGATTTGCAACTCAGTGCTTATCCTACAGCACACTAGGACTCCACAAACTATTGTTGTTGTTAAGTGTTGAGTCAGTTCCAACTCATAGCAACCATGTATAGGGCTTCCAAGGAGCAGCTGATGGCCTTGAACCACCAACCTTTTGACTCAAACCAACTTTGCAGGTCAGCACATTATCTATTGATGATTCTCATTTTCCAGCCTCATTTCCACTTTTCATTTGTACTAGTAACAAGATAAACATGGCAATTAGTCCTTTTTATTTGAGCTGGAAGGGAGGGTGGTGATCAGTAACTCCCGGGGCCCTCATTGGCAGCCTGTCTGAAATGAACGGCGCCCTGACTTCCTAGCTGACCTTGGGAAGGGGACATTCACTTGCTCTCAGGGTGGACAGCCTTGGCAGTACAGCAAGCAAGCGTGGGACAGTGTGCTCAGTTCCAGACTAAAGCTGGCTGTACAGTTCACGAGTCTTCAGTACACATAGCCTACGTTTGCTGCTGTTAATACCTTCCAGCTGGTTCCGACCCATAGTGACCCTGTATAGGGTTTCCAAAGAGTGGCTGGTGAACTTGAACCACTGACTTTGCAGTTCAAATGGACCTTGCAGTCCAGTGCATTAGTCCACAGCACCACACCAAGAATCCTGTAGATCTAAAAATCACAAAAATTCAAGGTGCGCTCCCTGAAACGTTATGTAAGCTAGATTCAAGCCAGACCACCAGGCTAGTGGAAGTAGGTTGTGTTAAGGAATTAAGATGTGCTCTTTTTAAAAGTGCATTTTCTAACAAAGAGAGGAAATGAGGGTATGGGGCATACGCTGAGGGGCTAGAGGAAAGATTAAGTTCCTTATTTTAGCTCTAGATCAGACCCTTTACCCTCTTCCCAGGCAACCCTGGTCCCCGGGCACTAAGTCATACTGTCACAGGCTGTTGGCACACCAAACTACCAGCGCTCAAACCCAAGCCACTGTCATCCATTGGATTCTGACTCAGGGGCTCTGGGAGAACTTGTCCCTAAGGTTTCTGAGACTAAATCTTTACGGAAATAAGCAGCCACATCTATCTCTAACTATCAGAGTCAGGGGAACCTTTGTTATTTTTATTTGTTTACAAATAACTAATCAATGTTCCCTTTGGGGGTGGTGGGAACTTCTCTCTGGGTTCAGTATCACCAAAGAAGGTCATTTGAGAAAGGATTTACTCAAAGATGCTGCAAGAAGGCGATGGCCAGTGAGTCCTCCATCATCAGCCAGCTGTTTGAAGGGCAGCTCAACTCTGGGATCACGTGCTTGAAGTGCGAGAACTGCAGCTACAGGAACGAAGACTTCACGGTCCTCTCACTCCCCATTCCCTCCCAGTATCAGTGCTCTCTTCAGGTAGGACCCCCCAGTTCCTGCACTTGCTTTTGTCTGGTTTTACCCCCAGCTTGGAGCTTCTCAGGCTTGAGTCCTACATTTGTTCATATGAGTGGGCTTCTCTGTAACTTAAAAAAAAAAAAAAAAAAATTGGAAGCCCATGAGGGGAGTATTTCATTGAAAAGCAACATACAAATTAAAAGTTACTTTTGACAACAAATCCTTACAGCAAGAAACATTCCCACCCCCTCCACACACAGAGTAGACAGAGAGGGGCAACTTGGACATTGGATACCCAAATGGGGAGGGAGGGACTACAAAGGCAAGAAGTAACTGGCTTACAAGCTTTCAAGAGGGAACCTAGAGCTAGGGGGCATGGAGGAAGGCAGAATCTCCAGTGAGTACTATCCAATTTGTCTAGGTGGAGCTGATGAAATGAAATACAGATGGGTTACGTGCGACACTGTAGTGAATAATGGTTATCAAGATGGATTGTGAGTGTTGGAAATGCAAGGGTAGATGTTTTGTAGCAAGGAAGAAAGCGATTATTTCTCCAGTTTAGGAGCGGAGGTCTCTGGGACCACCAACGGATAAGAGCAGAGAACGGGACCCCACCCAGAGAACCGGGGATGCCTGAGATGGAGACAGAGATGATGACATGGAGGGATGAAGCGGCTGGGGACTTTGGATCCAGAGAGGGAGAGGAACTGTGGGCCGAAGACTGAGGGGGGAGGAGGGAGTATAGAGCATGGGCTTCTAGGATATGCCCTTTGGTCGGAAGACAATGCATGGAGGAGATTGGAACCATGGCAATGTAATGATATACGATGGAATGAATATGGAACTGATGTTTTCTCATGTAAACTATGATAAAACTCACAATAAAACATTAAAAAACAAACAAACAAACAAAAAGTTACTTTTGAAAATGTACTCAACAAAACAGCCTCTTTGTAAAACTGGGGGAAAAAATACACAGAATTTATTCAGTCTATTGAGATGGGATCTATAATTTCTTATAAATAATGTATGGCCTTCCCTCACCCCAGAGGCCTGAAGGTCCAGATCAAGGAGACAAGGGGGTGTCAAAAAGTTTGTAGAATAATGGAATTAAGAGAAATTGGAGTTTTTCCACAAGCATTTTGAAGTCCCCTCATAGATACAAAAGCTTTTTACTTTCAATCTTGAGCCTTTGATATTTTAGATCACAGCTATGAAATGAGTTGGGAGGGGAAGAGCGGGATCATCCACTCTCTATGTGTCTTCACCGTAAGTTTGTGCCAAGAGTTCATCTGTAAACAGCCCAGGGGTGGCAGTGAGCGACCATGAGCAGTAAGGAGACAGGAAGCTATGTGTTTGCTTGCAGAATATACACATTTATGTATTTTCTTATTTATGAAAACACATCTCCTGCTAAAAGCTTTCACATAGTTATTTACAAATACCAGAAGTAGAGAATAGAAACACACCACTTACTCAGGATGGGGCTTTGCTCGGAGCTCAAACTGTAAGCTTGTCTGAGCGGTGCTGACATAATCTTTGCTCATCTTTGTCTTTAGGTTAATAGCTTGCAAAGCCTGCAACCTGACCACATTTAAGAAACGTCTTTGTTATCTAGCGCTGCTATAACAGAAATACTGCAAGTGGCTGACTTCAAACACACGTTTGTTTTCTTCTTAGAGTTTAGGAGGCTGGAAGTCCGAATCCGGGGTACTAGCTCTAGGGGAGCGCTCTCTCTGTTGGCTCTGGCGGAAGGTCCTTGCTTCTCACCCATGAGCTCCTTTGACTTGGCTTCTCTCTTCCCCTGTTTCCGCTTGTTTTGTTGTTAGTAGTTAAGTGCTGTTGAGTGGATTCCAACTCATAGAGGCCCCATGTACAACTGCACCATCCTCACAATTGTTGTTGTTTGAACCCACTGTTGCTGCTACCGTGTCAGTCCATCTTGTTTGGGGGTCTTCCTCTTTTTCACTGACCCTCCGCTTTTCTAAGCATGATATCCTTTTCCGGGGACCTTATAATGTGTCCAAAGTGCAAGAGACAAAGTCTTGCCATCCTGGTTTCTAATGAGTATTCTGACTGTACTTCTTCCAAGACAGATTTGGTGTTTGTTCTGGCAGTCCATGGTACTGTTAATATTCTTCTCCAACACCATAATTCAAACGCAATACTTCTCTGATTTTCCTTTTCATTGCCCAACTTTCACATGCATAGGTGGCTACTGAAAATACCATGGCTTAGATCAGGTACATCTGAGTCTTCAAACTAATATCTTTGCTCTTGAACACTTTAAAGAGGTCTTGTGCAGCAGGTTAACCTAATGCAATACATCATTTGATTTCCTGACTGCTGCTTCCATGAGTGTTGATAGTGGATCCAAGCAAGATGAAGTCTTTGACAACTTCAATCTTTTCTGTTTATCATGATGTTATTTATGGTCCTGTTGTAAGGATTTTTGTTTTCTTTACATGGACATGCAATCATATTGAAAGCTGGAGTCTTTGATCTTCATCAGTATTTCAAGTCCTCTTCACTTTCAGCAAGCAAAATTGTGTTATCTGTATATAGCAGGTTGTTAATGAGACTTCCTTCAATCTTGATGCTAAATTCTTCATGTAACCCAGTTTCTCAGATTATTTGCTTACCATACAGATTGAATAGCATGGTGAAACACTACAATCATGATACACACTTCTTCTAATTTTATTCAGCATTCCCTTGTTCAGTTTCCTAGCTTGTTCTTAATCTCTTTCATATGTCAATTAGCACTGATTGAAAACACAGCAGTTTATCTTGTCTTATTTACATAACAAAGATTGTTGTTGTTAGGTGCCATTGAGTCTTGTGCAAAAGAATGAAACACTGCTCAGTCCTGCACCATCCCCACAATCTGTCACTGTGTCAAACCACCGTCTTAGGGGTCTTTCTAATTTTTGTTGACCCTCCACTTTACCAAGCTTGATGTCCTTCTCCAGAGACTAGCCCTTTATGACAACATGTCCAAAGTATGAGAGATGAAGTCTTTCCATCCATCGTGACTTCTAAGGAACATTCTGGCTGTACTTCTACTTTAGTCTGTAGCCTTTGATCTTCATCAGAATTCTTCTTCACTTCCAGTAAACAAGGTTGTATCACCTGAATACCACAGGTTGTTAATGAGTCTTCCTTCAATCCTGCTGCCACGTCCTTCATATAATCCAACTTCTCAGGTTATTTGTTCATCATACAGATTGAGTACGAATGGTGAAAGGATACAAGCCATTCTGTATCCCTGTGCTTTGTTTGAACAACTGCCTTTTGGTCTATGTACAGGTTCCTTAAGAACACAATTAGTGTTCTGCAACATCCATTCTTTGCAATGTTATTCACACTTTGTTATGGTCCACATAGTTGAAAGCCTTTGCATCAAGCATTTTATCTTGAATTAGACAAAAAGATAACCCAGTCTTAATGGGATTATAACCACAGGGAGGTTGGGATTTACAACACGTATTTTCAGGGACATAATTTTGTCCTTAACAGATGTCTCCTGAGATCCTGGGGTCTAATTTTTTTCTGTTCTGTAGTCTTTACTATGGGCTTCCCCAAAAGATTAAGATACGACCATTTTTCAATCACCATATCACATTAGTCATGAGATGAATAACCTGAAACAGCTGCCTGCTTTAGTTAGTGGAAATTGTAAAGTTAATATTATTTTGAAATCAACCAGGAACATTAAAATGTTGATTCAGAGATTATAAATGAGATGGCACTTGGGTCCATTTCAGCAACCAACTAACGAAGAAGTATCTCCTTGGTTGGCTAGGTTTCCTTGCTAGCTCTCCAGCTTACAGGCTGTGGCCCTGCTAGCTCCTGGATTTGACTTTGAGAGAGGCTGTTGAGGGCTGCATTTCTATGGCTGTTCCAAAATGCTGATACAACAGAGATAGAAGTCAGCAAATGCTTTTCTTGTCTCAACAGGACTGCCTCCAGTGTTTTTTTCAACAAGACACACTGTCCTGGAATAACCAAATTCATTGCTCCTTTTGTGAGACCAAGCAAGAAACTGCTGTGAGGACCAGTATTTCCAAAGCACCCAAAATCATTATTTTTCATTTAAAAAGGTATGGATTTTTAGCGATTTATAGTCAGATTTGAAGGTATGATAAGGTCATGAATGTTGGCCTAGCAAAACAGTTTTACAAGATACATTTTCCTGTCAATTTTGGGGCAAATTCACGATTCTCAGAATATATATACAATAAAAAAGGAGTCATGTCTAATTCAAACATCCTCTGAAATCTTTGTTGTTGTTCTTTAGTGCTACTGAGTCGGCGCTGACTCATTGACCCCGAATATGCTTTCTGAGGCTTTAAATCTTCAAGGGAACAGAAAGCCTCCGCTTTCTCCTGCAGCACAGCTGCCAGGCCCAAACTGCAGACATTGTGGCTCTCAGTCTAGTGCTTATCGTATGGAGTCACCGTGCTATGAGCTGGAACCGACTTGACAGCACTAATCAACAATAACAAAGATTTCAAAGGCTATTCAAATTCGATATTAACTCCTATTTCTTCTTGTCCTGTTATCTCAGTTCCAGGCCAGTTCCTTCAGCATTTAGGTGATGAGCTCTTAGGGTCATCAGCTCTACGTGGCTACTGCTGAGTGGGGAGGAGTGGTCAAGACCACAGTGAAGATGGGAATGAAGTATAATTTCAGGATTTTTTCATTCAAAGGAATATGCTTCAAAGCATCTTTCCTGTATGAGCTAGGAGAAAATCCAAAATGGAAGTACAGTGAGGGAGAGGTGGACAGGCAAGCTATGACTCAGAGCTAACAATAATCCAAAAATGCAGCCTTGCAATTAGCAGGAATAGTTTCTGGCTTCTATTCTTTGTTACCATCCCACTTCATTCATTGCTATAAATAGACATATAAGCAGTTAAAATTATTAAGCTCACCAAATAATGAATGACCCAGAACCTGCATGAAGACCGTGAGTTTACATCTTGTGCTGTATTTTGTTGGGTTGGTGCCACTGTCCTTCCTATTGTCTAGACTTCTCTGGGGACTGTGCTGAAGTTTTCAGCCTACACCTGGAATTTAGGGGGTGGAGGAGAGATGGAAACTTCACAGGAGAATCAACATGAAATAATAACATTGAAGGATGAGGAATTTTCCAGATAAAGAAGAGGGAGAAGGAAATAATGTGTGCCAAGGCATTTTGGTCCATATGGTAAATAAATGTGAGGATGGGAAAGGAAGTAGTGATGAGTTGTAAGGCAGGTGAGAGCTTTGTGGAGAGTCTTGGATCAATTACTAAGATACTTGGATTTTATCCTTAGGGCAGAGTAACTTATTTGAGGTGCGTGGTTTGGCAGGGTTGAAAAGGAAACTCAGTGAACTGATGGATGGTTGGGGAAGGGGAGAGCCGGGAGGGGAGAATAATTAAAATGCTGTTGGAAGAGTCTAAATATGAAATAATGATTTGGACTATAGCAGCAATTGAGGTAAAAGAGTGGGGTAGTTTCAACAAGTGTTGAGGCGATATATCTAGAATAAACAGGATTTGAGTAGTGACTCTCTGGGGAGCTGAGGGAAACAAAGAGTGATGTCAAGGGTTCCAAGACTGAGTTCTCAGACGCTGTGTTACAATAAGTTGGAGCAACTTGATCACATCCAACAGCAAAAAATTGATGGTTATCAACTCACTTCAAGTGCATAATCCTGCAATAATGGTGACGTACACAATTGTTACTGTAGGATTGTCAAATTGGCTCCTACTCATAGCCACCCTATATACAACAGACCTCTACACAGTCCTGTGCGATCCTCACAATTGTTATGCTTGTGCCCATTGTTGTTACCACTGTGACAATCCATCTCATTGGACATCTCTGATGGCACTTAACAACAACGCATGTAGATGTATAGATTCATACATAGGCTGAATGGGTGTGGAAGGAAGAGTGGAAATACACCCAGGAACAGATATGGGTTTGACACAGGATATTTGTATATGTGTATTTATGTTTGCTGCAAATATATCCATCCATGAATGTCGTGAATCAAATAGGAGGCAAAGTTATGAAAACTTCTTAGACATAACCAAACACCATAAGGGAATGAGTTGCTGAGCCTGGGGGCTCAGGACTATGTTACAGGGGACACCATGGTGTACAGCCTACTTTGATGAGTAGTCACTGGGGTCTTAAAGCTTGTGAACGGCCATGTAAGGTGCAACTAGTGGTCTCTTCCTGACTGAAGACTAATGGACCACATGACCCCAAGTCTCTATGACCCTGAGACTTGAAAAACTAGATGGTGCCCTGATATTGCTAACTGCTCTGAAAGGGCAGGTGGATGCTGTTATTAAGTGCCATCATGTCATTAGGACTCATAGCGACCCTGTATAGATTTTGTAAGGCTTTTAGGTCTTCGAAGGAGCAGAAAGCCTCATCATTCTCCTACGGAGCAGCTGGCAGGCTTGAACTGTAGACTCTGTGGTTCACAGTCCAGAGCTTATCTTATGGAGCCCCTGAGCTCCCATTTGTACAGTATGCACGAAGTAATCTAAGACATTACTCTTAATTGTATTTGGAATTTGTCAAGGTGTGTGGACTTCATTCATAAGTGGCTCATAAACTTTTTACTTGTATTTCACACACCTATCCCCCCAGGTTTGACATTCAGGGTGCAATGAAAAGAAAACTGAGAACAGATATTCATTACCCACTCACCAACTTGGACCTCACTCCTTACATTTGTCCAATTTTTCGGAAACATCGTAAATACAACCTATGTGCAGTGGTGGTGAGTAAAATATAACAACTATAAAAATACTTTTAAAGAAACTTTAGAATTACTTGCTTATATACCTACACCTGCCATTTCTCCCTGAATTTTCCAACCTCCTTTTTAAAACATAGAGTCTACAAGGCCCTTGTTTTCATCTAGAACATTAGTACTGTGTAAGTGTAAGATGTCTGTATTTTGTGAAATGTCTATACAACTCCTGCCGATTTCCTATTATTTAGTCTTTCCTTATTTTAAATAAAAAACCAAACTTGTCACCGACTCATTGTGACCCTATAGGACGGAGAACTACTTGATAGAGTTTCCAAGATGTTCAATCTCAACAGACAGTCTCAGCTTCCTCGTACAGAGCAGCTGGGGGTGTGAATCAACTTTCAGTTAGCAAATGTTTCATCAGTTCATCACAGTGCCACCAAGGTGCCTCTCATTATAAGAAGTTCTTTAGAAATACTAAGGAGCCGGGTAGTGTTGTAGGATAAGCACTGTCTAACTGCAAAGTCTGCAGCCAAATCCACCAGCGCTCAGGAGGAAGATGAGGCTTTCTGTTCCCATAAAGGTCTGTTGTTATTGTATTCCATCGAGTCGATTTTGACTCATAGTGACCCTGTATAGGGTTTCTGAGGAGTAGCTGGGGCCACACCAAGCCTTCTCCCATAAAGGTTTACAACCTGGGAAACCCTATGCAGTGTTGCTATGAGTGGGGTTCGACTCCATGGTATTGGGTTCCAGGTTTTTCACAAATCCTGGATATGTATTTTTAAATGATCTTCCTCCACTCTGTGACTTGATTTTCCACTCTTGTAATGGTGTCTTTTCATAAAATTAGAAATTTTAATGTAGTCCATTTTATCAATATTTTTCCTTTATGGGTTGTGTTTTTCATGTTAAAAAACTTTGTTTTGTTTTGAGAGGGAAATCTTTATTGTTTTCTTTATAAAAATGTGTCCATCAGGTGGAGGTCAAAGGGGCTGGGCCTATGCTTATGCAGGGACAGCAAAGTAGACCTTCCTGGCCCAGAAGCCTTTGACCTTCTCTAGGGCAGGCCTCAGTAGGCATTCCAGATGATTTATAGGTCCATAGTGAACAATGGGAGCGGTCAGAGGTGAAGGCTCAGTGGGAGAGTAGAGGAGAGTCAGCAGAGGTCACAAGAAGGCCAGAATCCAGGGTCAGGCTATCCTGGTCAAAGTTGAGTTTCTTGGCTGGCAGTTTCTCCTAGCCTTTCAATATACACTAGGTCACTGTTGGCATCAGAGTCATTCAGAGCACTGAAAGTCACATCAGCCTTCTGCTTCGTTATGGGGGATCTCCCCCGGCCTCAGGAACAATGAGCTGCTGGGTGGAGGGGCTGCTGGAGGAGGTGACAAAATACCAGATGTCAACTTCTTGGGCCCTTTATTGGGTGACTCAGCTGGAAGGGGGAATGGCAGAGTCTTCATACACCTTGCGCTTCACTGTGGTCTTTATCTAAGGTCCCGCGGGAGAAGAGTCAGCCACGGGATGCAGCTGTATTGTCAGTTCCCCGAGCTTCTTTGTGAAGGCTGCAGAAGCCTCAGAGAATCTCTCTGTGGAGGCTGACATCATGGCTCCGGGCCCTCCTCACAGAGATGCTGCCACCGCCGCTGCCATGGCAAACGGGCCACGGAAAGCCAGGCAACCCCATGTTAAAAAACTTCTGTATGCCACAGTTAAAGTATTTTTTCCTAGAAAATTGATTGTTTTACATTTCCAAATTTATTGACATCAAGTTGCTCATTATCTTGATGTTTCAAAATCTGTATTGTATTCATAGATATCCTAGGCATTAGTGAGTGGAAATGGACAGGTATTGGCCATTTTGAATCTGACATTCACATAGTTTACTATGCCAGGAATGACAAATTGAAGAGGAATGGCATCACATTCATCATCTAAAGTACGTAACAAGATTTGTCTGAGAACAAACAAGATGGCAGAGAGTGTGGAAGTGCAATGAGGAGCTGCGTCAGCAACAACACAGAAGACCGGACTAAGCAGGCTCAGGGGATGGTGTCAGAACTCTGAACCACATATAAAGGAATATTTACAAGGTTTGAAGGTTATAGATAGGGGAATTTGTAGCAGGAGCAAGAAATACATTGCTTTCTAATTCAAGACGCTCAGCTGTTCCTAACCACCATTTTGGGTGAGACCAAGCAGGGAAAGGATCAGGGCAGCCTGACAGAACCGCGGAGACAAAGGTGGGGACTTTTTTTTTTTTTGTATCTATTCATTGGTCCCTTGTTGTCTATGCACCTCCATTCTGGTGACTAGAGGGGGTGCCAGATTGAATAGACATCACACCTCCACTCCCAGAGGGTTCTACTAGGCATGTGCACAGATCTCCTCAAAATTTAAAGAGACAGTTTCCAATTAAAACCAAACAGCCATAACCGGCCCTGAACTGTTTAAAACTAGAAAAAAGGCCTGAACGGGCATTGTGGAGCAAGACAGGCATAATAAAAACAAAATAAACCAAAAATTAAATCCTGAGTTATGTCACAATGACCAACAGTGGCATCTTGAATTTTCTCAGGAAGAAGAGTGAAAAGGGAAGCCCATCTCCTGATTACATCTACCTGGAGGCATTCAGAAAGCATAAAAAATAGAAAAACACACACCCATCTAAGTATTAAGGCCACAGATAACTCCTGAATACACCCAAAAAACAGAAGCAGATGATCGTATCTGCACATGTCCAGAAATGAGATAAAGTGACTGAGGCAAATGAGCTGGAAGTAGACCTACACTCCATACTGGAAGATGGGTAGGCTTTGGAAATGCTGGAGAAGGAATTCAGAAAAATAATTATAAAATCTATCAAAACACTATACAGTGGAGTTGAGAAAAATAAGGAAGTCAGGAAAGCGCTACAGGAAGAATCAAATAAGATAAATACAGCATTGGAAACAATTCAAAACCTACAGAAAGAGGTCCAAACGATAATAATAGAATGTCAGAAATGGACAATACACTGAAAGGGCAAAGGA